GATCAAGGGGATGCGGTATATATACAGTTGAATATTATTCAGCTATAAAGAAGAATGAAATCATACCATTTGTGACAACACGGATGGACGTAGAGGGTAATATTCTAAGTGAAATAAGACAGAGAAAGACAAATGCCATATGATTTCACTTACATATGTTATCTAAAAAACAAAACGAGCAAACATAACAAAACAAAAGCAGAGTCAGATACAGAGAACAAACAAGTGGTTGCCAGAGGGAGGAGGATGGTTCTGTTAAGTCTAAAACTATTTCAAAATTAAAAGTTTTGAAAAAAGAGAAACTGACATGAATTTACATGTTCTGTTACCCTTGGAGGGGAAGCTTGAGGCAGACTGAACCCAAAGGAGCAGCAGGTAAGCCAATCAAACTAACATTTGAAGGATTTATATCTGATACTATTAACTACCAAACTTTTCTTAAACTTAGCTGATGTATATGAGGCCATTTCATTTTCTGTGCACAAGAACTTTGGTGGAAGAACTGGAACTTCTGAAGGGAACATGATGACTGTTAGTTAACCCCTGTCCTCCGACTTAACGACTTCAGCACTTAATTTCCACAGTATTTTCCACTCCGTATTGCAGCCTTGGGACTGATTCTCCAGGTTTGCACGTCTTGACTTTACCTCTGCCTTTTATTTCCCCAGATTTATGAGTTTGTGTGACATTTACCTGGATCTACCCTTCTGTCAAAGCGGCCATAATGATCTGGTTTCACAAAGGTAAGGTTGATCTGTGTTACATTCTAAACCATAGAAAAGTGAGAGAAAAGAGAAACACAGACTGTGAAAGGATGGGGTGTAATGGACCCTGTTCCCAGTCATATCCCCTTCTTGGGAACTGCAGCTGATGAAGAGAGACCCTCACTAGCCATGTACTGAATATTTACACCAGTCCTCACCTAGGACAACCGGAGTCCCTCTGCTAGGAATTTGACATTTTGAACTAAAAGTTACAGAAATATAAGACTAGGAGAAAGTGCAGGAACTTCTGCCATCAAGGAGCCCAGCGTTATCTTAATTCTACTGTTTCTGAGGCTTGGATACAACCTGTATTATTACCTGTAGCTGTTCTGGCAAATTACCACAAACTGGATGGTTTAAAAGAACAGATATTAATTCTCTCATAGTCCTGGAGGGCAGGTCCAAAATCAAGATATCAGTAGGACTGTACTCCCTACAGAGGCTCTAGGGGAGAATCTATCTGTTCCTTTCTTCCCTAGCTTATGGCTTATTGGCTTGTAACCACATCACTCCCATCTGTGCCTCTGTCTGCACATCATCTTCTCTTCTGTCTTTCCCCTCTATGTGTCTCTTATAAACACACTTGCCACTGGATTTAGGGCCCACCTGGATAATCCAGGATGATTTTATCGTCTCAAGATTCTTAATTACACATACGAAGAAAGATCCTTTTTCTAAATTAAGTAACGTTCACAGGTTCTGGAGATTATGACATAAACATATTTGGGGCAGGGGCACCACTCAACCAAATACACCATGCTTCCAATTAACTTTTTCTTAAGTGGTGCCAGTTTCTATTACTTGAAACCCAAAGAACTTAGGTAGTTTGGTCTCTTGATGCTAGTGGCAGTCATTATAAGTTGTTTGTGCCATCTCTATACTAAGCTTGACTTCAGAAGTTCTCCAACTTTAGTGTAGTAAAAATTACTTTGGAACTTGTTAAAAATGCAGGTTTCTGCCCTCCTTTCCAGAGTTTCTCAATAAATTGGTCCAGGAATCTTCATTTTTAACAATTCCCAGATGGTCCTGGTGATAAAAGAAAGGGAAAATTGTGAAAGCTCAGACCCATTCATGTCCCATTCACATAAAAGCAAGAGGAAAAGCGATGAAAAATAATTTGAAAACTTTAATGATGTTGTTTATATAGTAAAAACATAAAATCTTTTAAATAAGGTACATTCAGTTTCTCAGAGCATCTAATATTCAGATAATTTATATTTCATACACTTTCCAACATTAAACAATTGACTAAATAATGCATTTTCTATAAAATGATAATTCAGTTTACACAGGTAAAAGTATATTACAAAAATACTCTACACAGGAAGAATGGCAGTACCTATTAGGAAATGTTACAAATATTCTGTTAAAAAATATATTTTATCTCTTTCATTTGTCATAATAATAAACAGAATATATATTTTTTTCTTTCTAAAATTAAGTCTTACACAGTTTCCCTTCAGGATGGTAATATGTACAAACCTTATATCTGAATGGATATAAATAGCAAATACTATAATAGTGTTACAGATATATTAGTAACTTTTACAGAAAAAAATGGCTTTCTAATAAAAGCCTCTAGTACAGCTGAATTCTCAAAGCTATTTAAGTTAGACATTCCCATGTTTAGTAAGGCACAATGGAGTCTAGTTTCTTATTTCCAGTTGAATTACTGCAAGCAGTAACAAGGAAAAATATAGTCAGTAGATATTGGACCAAATCTGTTAGTTGGATAAATTATTTGGGATTTATTAAACTTTGAGGGGAGATGTGAGTTCTTTCTCCACACCATAGTTTCTTTTCAGGCCCTGTGGCCAGATCTAGTCCTTGGTGATGAGAAAGAAATCATTGTACCCTCCTCAAGCGCCTGAGAAACAGTTTATTCATTTATTGGATCTGGTCCATGGTGAGGAAACAGCTCAATGACCATTTCCGGTTATAAGCAGCTTATCTTTAATGATTGGACCTGGTTCCCTATCATTTCTAAAAATAGCTTCTGATATAATCTGTACATGGTGAAGCTGTGAAGGAACCTGATGGTCTTCTTCAGACTCTGAGTGACAGTTTTGGGGAAGTGGTATGTCTTCAAGTGCTTTAGGGCATGCATCAGGCCCTTGCGGGTGTCTTGGTCATCATTCTTTATTCGCCAGAGGCTGAGAAGCTTCAGGATTTGATCACTTGATTTGCACGTCTTCATTGTTTTCTCAATGTCTTCTGTCGTCACTTTCTTCCCCGGCAAGCTTTCCATCAGCCTTAGAAGCTGCTCGAAGGTGAGGTTCACGTGCCCAATGTGCCTCTGCACGCTCTTTTCACAGAGTTCGATATCTGCATAAAGCAAAACCCAGAGACATTCACGTCATCCACCCAAAGCCGCCGTAAAACTTCCCTGAGGCAAAAGGAGGTTCCCCAGAATTTCGTAACTTTAAGGAGAACCTCCTCCTTTCCTTTTGGGAGGGCTTAAGTAATGCTAGTTATTTCTGAGAATTGAGTGAAATATTGTTTTGTGTTACACTAGGTTAATATGCTTCCTATATTCTAGGCATCCAACACAGCTTTGTGAAAAGCCCAAATTTGGAAAAGAACAGTGGGAAACTACAGACACACCGTTTTCTAAGAAAATTTGGAGAAATTAAAAGTGTAACCTTTTAGGAAAAACACAAAGTTAGCTATTTTATAATACAAACTTTCATTAACTGATACCCAATATATGTGCTATTTGAAGAATTAGGTCCTTCAAACGGTCTTTAATAAATAGCACCAGGAGATCGTCAGCACAAAGGAGGAGCCGTGAAAACCCAATAATATGAGGCCAAAGAACAGCAGGATACACATGGCCTGGAGAATATTTCAGTAATGAGCTAGGACATAACATAAGAGGCAATAAATAACGTTTCTATTGATGACATGAGTCATTTATTATCTGTGGGCCCGAAGGCAAGTCTGTTCATCTTTCTGGGCTGAAATGTCCTCATTTATAAAATAGGAAATTGGGTCCCTTCCAATTCTAACAGTCTCTGATTCTCTCCTTCCCTCTCTTTTTGCTTCAGGGCTAATTATACTTTCAAAGAATACATTTTGTTTGCCAAAAACAGAAGACAAGTTTACTCTTTGCACAACTGAAACCATTCAACTATTAAAGCTGTCAGTCGCCTAAAATCTGTTGCCTCAGTTTCAGATGTTTGAGGCTTTAAGGTTGTGTAGGACTCCTCAGTCATTTAACTACATGTGAAGAGCAGAATGGATTTCTCCTTGACACTGTCTGCATTATGAAAACGCTCCCTCATTTTTTCTACCATGTCCTCCCGATGCTAATTAAAGTCAGAACTTTTTCTACTGTGTATCCTAAAGCTTATAGTCCACACTGGATGAAACTTACTTCCTTTTCCCCTCCGATTCTCTCCCATCATAACACACACACACACACACACACACACACACACACACACACACACAGAGTTTCTAAAGGAGATTCTCCAAGAAACTCAAACACTTTACAGACCTTATCTCATTAATCCTCACAACACATGCTATTAAAATGGTAATCTTAAAATAGGCTGTGTTCAGATGCAGAGAACAAACGTATGGACACCAAGGGGGGAAAGTGGCAGGTGGTGGTGGTGGGATGAATTGGGAGATTGGGATTGACATGTATACACTAATATGTATAAAATAGATCAATAAGTAAATAAATTTTTAAAAGTAAAATAAAATAGGCTGTGTTGTGAGGATTAATGAGAGGATACCTGTAAGACACTTAGAGGCTCTCTGGAGAGAATTACCACATAAATCCAACATAGTTTCCTGGTAGAATTGCAAAGTAAGATCTAAAGTGGTTAAAGAACTTCTAGATAGGCCAGAAGGGATGCTCCTAAAACTGCTAAGGGGATCCAGAGTCAGATTTCCTGAGGTCTAGTCCCACATTTGAAATGTATTATCTCTCCCTTTAGAGAGACACTTGAAAAAGAAATTGGGGAGTAGAGGAGGTGAGAACAAAACCTCACATGACTGCTCTAGGAATAGCATATCCACTATCACTTGATGAATACGTTTTCAGTCCAACAGTAATTCCCAAAGGGAAACATCATCCACACAACTAAACAGGTACATAGTCCTGTTTCTGTTGTAGGGCCGACAGGTGTTCTGATTTCTGATCGAGTTGTTTATTTCAGGTTCCCATACCTTGGATGATCTTCTTGACCATATCTTGGTCTTTGTTTTGATGCTTCCATAACTTCAGCAGCTGGAAAGTCTGTTCTCGTGAGCTGTGTCGTCGTTTTATCCGATCTATGCTCTCTGCGTTCACTTTGGTGCCAGGCAAATTGTCTACCAGGACACTGAGCCAGTTCGGGGTAAGCTTTGTAGGAACAGCAAACCTAAAGAATGCCTCCTCACACAGGGTCATGTCTAAAGGAAGGTGGGAAAACCAAGAAGATTTACTCAATAATTGGATTCTTGGACGTCTAAGGGACAAAAATAATAATAATAATAGTAATAATAAAAACCAACACAGTTGAGTTTTCCAGGATATTGCATGCTAAAATGAGAAGTTTGAATAAAATCAATCTTCTGTTGCCTGGTCTTAGTGGCAGATCACTAATCCAACTGGGTTTATGTCCTTTCTAATGTTCTTTTAGAGCATTTTGTGGGGGGAGAGTTTAACAAACGTCTAATAAGAATGTATTACTGCTATAAATAACTTACAGCAAAAATTCTATATATATAGCATAATGTGTATATATATGTTAATATATACATGAACATATTTTAATGTAACTGTGAAATATTTTGTTAAAGGTTTAGCTGGTGTCTACAGGTTACTTCAAGATCAATGTCAAATCACTGTCTTTAAGGGAGCTTGAAAAGTAATCTGAAATAGTGTATTATTTTCTGCACACACACAGACACATAGTTTACCTCTGGGAACAAGGATGGATACAGATGTATAAGCGTACATTAAGTGGGAAAATAATCAAACACAAAAACATGTCATTTAGAAAAGAAGTGCAATGGCCTGAGTGTCTGGGTAGGGTTGGTATATCCCAGGGATTAATAGTTTGTTTTTGGATTCATTAGGTCTGGGTTTGAATCCTGACTCTGCCATTCAAGTTCATACATTAACCTGAACAAACTTTACAGTATTTTTATAAAGATTAAAGCCCATATAGCAAAAGTGTCAGGCGTATAGTAAGTGCTCAAAGAACGATAGAAATAAAAGTATAAATGAATTAAAGAGAATGTTAGAGGTCACTCTTCTTCTATCCCTTCCCTCGTTCCATTATTTAATAAGAAAGCAGAAAAGCTGAATGACTTATCTAAGATTTTTACAGCGCAGTGAAAGAATGTTGGAACTGGGTTTGAATCTTCAATCTCCCAACCCACATTCCTATGTTTTATATACTTCTATGTCACACAAAAAGATGTTTGAGGAGAGTCAAGCTGATTAAATGCTAAAAGGTCGATCCTCCCTGGTGTGATGAGTCCTTGGTAGAAGGTCTGAGGTTAGTGTGGTGGTAGGAGTGACAAGGTGAGGACAGCAACCTGATTAGTACCATCACCAACATGAGGTACATTCAGGTAACTTGAGCTTGGAGCTACTGACCTTTCCTGAATAAAGAGTTGAAGACAAGTACAGGAACTTAGAACTTCCATGCAACAGATGCAGTAATACCATAGGTAACAAAGCCAGTATTGCATTTCTAATTTGTCATCTATGTATGTCACTATGCTTCTTTGTTGCCAATTTATACTTTGGCTAATAATACAGATAAAAGTGATAAAAATGCATAGCTTAAAAAATTCTGCAATTTGGACTCTGATCATCGAACCTTAAACAAAATCTTTACACCACCCCGTTCTCCGTGGGTAACATTTGATTCAAGTGTGAAAGTCAGGATTTGGAGCATGATTGTGAGAAGATGGGGACTTTTTGAAAAATTTTGAGTTGTGGCTTTAGCGATGATGCACAGGGAATAGTCTTAGTTGGTTAAAATTCAAGAAAGGGAAAATACAAGTTTGACTAAGAAGGGCTGGAGGGTCTTGTATTCAACTCAGAGGTGGTACAAAGACTGCTATTTTGAAACATAATTACCTATTCCACACTTGTGAGGCGGTTCACCGTTTCCAGAACATACATTGTCATGCGTTGCGTTTCCTTTCTGAGTTAGAAGGAGCCCAAGTGCACTGCAGTTTGTGTGCTTTCTACAGGGTGCTTTGGATGACGTCTCATTGGAGAAGAACCCATCCGGACAACTTTCGCAAACTGTATTTCGCTCCGGGGTTCCTACAGAAAATACCAAGCCATTTAGCACATTCTTCTCAAATACTTTCGCAGCAGATACCATCTTTTTTTTTTTTTTACATCTTTATTGGAGTATAATTGCTTTACAGTGGTGTGTTAGTTTCTGCTTTATAACAAAGTGAATCAGTTATACATATGCATATGTTCCCATATCTCTTCCCTCTTGCGTCTCCCTCCCTCCCCCCCTCCCTATCCCACCCCTCTAGGTGGTCACAAAGCACCGAGCTGATCTCCCTGTGCTATGCGGCTGCTTCCCACTAGCTATCTATTTTATGTTTGGTAGTGTATATATGTCCATGCCTCTCTCTCACTTTGTCACAGCTTACCCTTCCCCCTCCCCATATCCTCAAGTCCATTCTCTAGTAGGTCTGTGTCTTTATTCCTGTCTTACCCTTAGGTTCTTCATGACATTTTTTTTTCTTAAATTCCATATGTTTGGATAAGACTTTTCACTTGGTTTTTACTGCGACTATTATATTGCACAAAACTTGAGGCATTTTCATTTTTCACTTCATTAGACAGAACAAAACTTCTAGAGTTAGCCCCTTAGGCAGTCTCCCCTACTTGTAATACAAACACAAACGTGTTTTGTTGTTACCTACAAGCACAAAATTGGGGAGGAAAGAAAAGAAGTGTATGATGTTCAATTAGTCCTGCCTGTGCTAAACTGTCAGTAAGATCTTTTTGTCAACCATAATCTCCACACAATTATTCCTGGGAAATCATGAAGGTAACTGCTGTGTAACTGCTGTAATATCATTCTTTGAAATCAGTACCCATGGAATGCTGCATCGTTAAATTCCAATCAGTTCCTACTGAAGTTCCTTCTTTCCTGAATCCTAATCGTGAAGCAACTCATAAGTATGCTAACCTTGAGAAGTAAAAATTTACAACATTATAATAAACTTTTGAAGGTGGCAATAAAGTTGACATAGACTCAAAAGCGTAAGCCTACAATTACATAGTAAATGGAAGATGATATACCATTTACTTAAACTGTCGAGTCTGAAAAGAGCACAGTCGTTAAAATTCAGGGAAGGGTGACTGTAAGGGCATTTTATTTCATGGTGGAGAGATACTTGATAAATTTGGGTAAATCATTGGCAGGAAAACTTGAACCAGTCAACAACTAAAAATGCTATTAAAAATAAATATCTTCAAACCCTCGACTCTATGCCTGGGTAGATCATACATTACAGTGTACTTGCATATGAAAATACCTCCATCTAGTGTAAGCTAGTTGAACAGATTTAGACTTTAATATTCAAATGTAGCTTTTACAGGCCAGTTCTGGCTGACGCAAGATACCAAATACTAAAGGGACAAAGGAAAGCTACAGAAAGTTAATAAATTTCATTTATTAAAATTTTCAACCTCCCATCTCATTGTATCCTTTTCCAAAACCAGAAAAAAAGAGTACAATGGATCGGTTTTAGTTTCAACTCTGGCTTCTTTCTTTTCAAAAGGGATTGATGATGCATTGGCCAATAAAAATGACAGACGGTTGGCAGAAAAAAAAGAGAAGGGGGACCCGTGCATGAAACCTTCACATGTTAAATGCCATTTGCAGGGTTGCAGTGACATCATCTTAGGAACCACTTTACAAAGAGGTCTATTTTTTTAAGTACTTTCTTGCTACACTCCTCTCCTTAAATGGGATCCAACTTGATACCAAATTATCCAATATCGTAAGCAGAGGTATTTGGACAGAGATTCCATGGTATTATTTCATTGCTACTATTCTGGGGGTAAATGGTCTTGGACATCTGGATCCAAGTCTCCCTTTGCCAACTGCACAAAGAAGAATCTTGTCATTCTTCACATACATGTTGATGGCTTGGGTGTTCTCATGTGTCCCAATGAGAAAATCATAGGTACAAGACATTCTTTCAGGTAATTTAGCCTTTAAAGTTCTCTACCAAGAGGAATCCAAGAATTATAGAAGGAAAGTTTTTTTTAATGTATTTGGAGGCTTTATGTAATGACCTTTCTGAAAACGACTCCCCTCTTTTATGACTGATAGAACTTCTTATAAAAAGATGTATCCATCTAAGTAAATGATTTTGCCTTATTAATATCAACAGAAACATACAAAGTACAATCTGGCAGGCAAAATGTGAAATAGAATGGCAAGAGGAGTTGTGCTTTTCAGTGGAGAATTCACCATGCTAGCCATAAGCAATTACATAAGAATTATGGGACTAACAGGATGAAGTACAGTTGATCCTTGAACAGTGGTGGGTTAGGGGCACCCACAGGCTGCACAGTCGAAAATCCCATTATAACTTTATAGTCAGCCCTCTGTAGCGGGGTCCTGCATTCACAGATTCAAGCAACTGTGATCATGTCGTACTGTAGTATTTACTATTGAAAAAAAATGTGCATACAAGTGGACCTGCGTAGTTCAAACCCATGTTGTCAAGGATCAGTGTAAAATATGGAGAGGAGAAGACAATCTGGCTTCAAAACAACAACCACGGGCTTCCCTGGTGGCGCAGTGGTTGGGAGTCCGCCTGCCGATGCAGGGGACATGGGTTCGTGCCCCAGTCCGGGAAGATCCCACGTGCCACGGAGCGGCTGGGCCCATGAGCCATGGCCGCTGAGCCTGCGCGTCCGGAGCCTGTGCTCCGCAACGGGAGAGGCCACAGCAGTGAGAGGCCTGCGTACCGCAAAAAAAAAAAAAAAAAACGAAGAATGATTATTAAATACTTTTTAGAATAATACTACAGAATCTTGTCTTTGGACTGGAAACCTCGTATTTTCCATGAGGAACTCCTTTGTAGGTTTCTAGGGAGGGAGCAGTAAGTAAATGAATAAACGTGTACCTTTGTACTAAGTCTTCTGACTGCCTGCTTACTTTGTTCTACAAACAAATTTTCATGCTTATGTGAGAAAAATCCTTACTACTTCCATTATTTTTCAAAACTTTCTAGTTTCCAAGCTGCATAGCCCCTGCTTAATTAATTTCCCCATATATAAATTACTGAATTGAATTCAGTGGATCTCTTTCTGTTGGATGGGCTTCCCCCTCTACACCTTGGCTTAGCTTTTGAGTCCCAAAGTATCATCCAATAAAAGCTAAGAAGTGTCACCAATTTCTTCCTCAGATACTCATACTAGAGGCATTTTAAGGAACTGCCATGCAATTTGCACCTTCTGTGATTAATTTTATAAAATTCACAATTTAGGCAACTTAGTAGTTCAATTTTTTTTTTTTTTTTTTTTTTTTGTGGTACGCGGGCCTCTCGCTGTTGTGGCCTCTCCCATTGCGGAGCACAGGCTCCGGACGCGCAGGCTCAGCGGCCATGGCTCACGGTCCCAGCCGCTCCGCGGCCTGTGGGATCTTCCCGGACCGGGGCACGAACCCGTGTCCCCTGCATCGGCAGGCGGGCCCTCAACCACTGCGCCACCAGGGAAGCCCAGTAGTTCAATTTTTGAATATGTTTCCTTTGTAGGCCTTTAAACCTAAAATGTTTATAATCATTTAGAATCTATATTACAACTTCTTAAAGTCAAAATAGTTACAAATAATTAGCATCCTCAGAACCAATGACTGTCAACCAGGGGTGATTTTGCCATCCAGGGGACATTTGGCAATGTCTGGGCCATTTTTGGTTGTCACAGCTGGGGGAAGAGTGCTATTAGCATCTAGTGGCTAAAGACCAGGGATACTGCTAAACACTCTACCATGTACCGGACAGCTGCCCACAAAAAGAATTATCCAGCCCGCAAACGTTAGTAGAGCTGAGGTTGAGAAACACTGCTTCAGACTGTGTCATTGGAATCTATACCGATTACTGCTTCCTCCAGAAAAGTAGGTGAATACTCTTAATTTTCCCAGGCCAGGAGAGCATGCAGACTATACCAAAGCTTCGTGAATGCAGCAAAAAAACAAAAAAAAGTGGGTTACAACTTTAGAAAGTTCAGTGCACACTGGCCTTAACCTATGCTATTCAAAATGCAAAAAGAGAAAGTACTTTGTAGACAGGTACTTACTCTTGGCTTGACAGTCTGCTTTGTCTAAGATAAAGGATAAGCTCATTGAAGAGATGCTGCTACCATCTTTATCCTCCCAGACACTCAACTGCCAGGCCAAAGGAAGAACTAGCTTCATTTTTAATAATGAACTGCATTTCCCCTAGCCATTCTCATTTCTTACATAATTAATTATAACTACTCATTGTTAGCACGCCAGAGCCTCATTAATATCAGCATAATTACTCTCTTGGTATCAGTTAACATTTTTAATGTTTGTCAGGAAGCACTGCAGTTTGAAGCTCTCCATGCTGAAGTGAAACACAGAGGCATAGCTCAGCTATAAACAGTGCAACTCAGAGTGTGTCCCTTTAAGGAAGAGCAGTCAATCATGCATCTCATTAGGGAGTGATTTGCTGCATTTGAGATTTGTAACTAAATTGCCCCTTAGTGGCAAAGTGTTCCTCTGAGGAATGGTTCTTTGGCAGCCATCCAGACACACAGTACATACCTAGCAGATTCCATTACCTTTGTAATTTGCTGTCCTGTAATGTCACCAGGACAAACATGTTCCCTTAACCTTTCCCTACTGCCTGACTTTGTGTGATGCTAATGAATTCGGCCGCGTGTTGGAAGCGAATGCATACCAGCGTGTAGCACTCCAAATCCAGAGGGACAGCTCTTATGTTTCAAGCAGAACTCCAGCTCCAGGTAGCGCCCCTCCTCGCATTCGCACACGCGGTTGTGGGTGCGATTGCACTCCTGCTTGACGTACTGCAGTTCCTTGCACACTGGGCTGCAGTACAGACACTCGTCGCTGGTGTGCCAGCTGTCTGTGTAGTAGTGGTCAGGACAAGGGGCACACAGGGTCTTCCGCCTCGCTGTGCAGTGCTGTTTCAGGGAGGTGCCAGGAGGACATTTATCACACAGCAGCTGACGAGAGGTTTCGGGGTCATAATGAAGGTACTTTGGAGGAAAGGTCTCCTGGGTGGTCCATTTAATGGAGATGTCCAGGAACTAGAAGAAGAAAGGGAAATCGTGGCGTGTTAGCATGGAAATGGGGTGGTTCTTCTGTGCAAAAGCATCATTAACCTCAAAGAGTCCTTTAATACCTGAAGCCTCATGCCCTTCCTGCCTACTGAGCTACGACCCCAGAAAGTGAGTTCAGAAGCCATAATTCTTGCCTCTAAGTAGCTTAATCTCAAAGACCAAGATGGCAATAGCAGCAAAACATATTCAGTAAATCTAGCTCATAGATGGCTGGAGTGGAAAGCTCATCAGAAGAGAAATGATTACACTTAGATGCACCGCTAAACAACCCTTGTGCCCTGAGTGACACTTTACCTCCCTGGGCTTCAGGATTATCTAGATTAGTGAGTTGGGTGAACTAGTGGTTCTCAGAATAGCTATACCAGAATCACCTAGACACCTTGATAACATGTAGATTCCTGAGATTTATATCCCTAAACATTCTGATTCCACAGATGTGAAGCTGGGGCTGGGGACTGAAAAATCTACTGCTGTGATTCCCATGTGTGGAGCCCATCCTCAATAAATATAATTTATTCACTTGACGATAGTTGTGTCCCAGGCTCTGTTCTGGGCAATTGGGATACAGTAGTGAATAAAATAGTCAATAAACTCTGTCTATGGAGTTTACCATCCAACTGGGGGAGTAAGAAAATAAATAACAAATTACACATAAATTATACAATAGAAAATAAGTGTTGTAAAAAAATTGGAAATATGGAGGGGAAGGTAGAGAGATAACAAACTTTAAATGGGGTGGTCACAGTAGCATATTTAGGACGAGATGATATTTTTCTTTTAGTTTTCCCGTTCTAAGATGTAATGATTCCAAACATATGGTAAAGTAAACAGTTGGTGATTACAGTCATTCTGATCATTCATTCACTCATGCAACAGATATGTACTGCATACCTACCAGAAATATACCAGAAATATGCTGGTGAGTAAGATGTGATCTTGGGACTTCCCTGGAGGCGCAGTGGTTAAGAATCCGCCTGCCAAAGCAGGGGACATGGGTTCAATCCCTGGTCCGGGAAGATCCCACGTGCCACAGAGAAATTAAGGCCATGCGTCACAACTACTGATCCTGCGCTCTAGAGCCTGTGAGCCACAACTACTGAGCCCACGCGCCTCAACTACTGAAGCCCGCGGGCCTAGAGCCTGTGCTCCACAACAAGAGAAGCCACTGCGATGAGAAGCCCGCACACCGCAACAAAGATCCAATGCAGCCAAAAAGAAAAAAAAAATGATAAAAGATATGATCTTTGTCTCTGTGCAGCTGGTAATCTACTGGAAGATTCCTAGAATTTTAAGACATATTTCCTCCATAACATCATATGGTGCAGTCTTGAATCTCATAGGTGAATGATGTCTAGAAAATTAAATGACCTCCTCTCTTAAGGTTAATTGGGAAAAACTTCAGGGAGCAGGCAGGGTTTCAGAAGTTTCCGTCCATAATGGCCGAAGAGCTGTGTGCGTAGGAGAAAGATTTTGCAGGCAAGAGTACTGCTTGGGAAGGCAGCGCCACATGGGCATTCTGTCTTGTAGTCTAGATCTCAGAAGGTCTTCAAGGGAACACTGAAGTAGTTCTTCACACTAATTAGAAGAAAAAGTGTTGTTTGTGCGTAGGGGTGGTTTGTTTGGGTTTTATTGTTTGTTTCTGATACAGGGATCAACACTGACTGTTCTCAGGCTTTGGGAAGGTGGCAGGCCAAATAATAATTTTTTCCAAACTTTCTTCTTTGCAGAACTCAGGAAATCTCACAGAAACCCATTGACCTGGAAAAAGTGTGCCAAGCTAGGGAAACAGCACTCCCTTTTGAAAGAGGAATAACAAAGGTAAAGAAAGGCCTTTTTCATACGCATTTGGGCATTTTAATAAGTAATTCTATTCACTTCTTATTGGGACATGACAAGGGTCAGGGATGTCTGGACCTAATATGAGCTGATAAACCAGATTGAACGAATAAAAGATCTCACCTAGGGCCATGGACTTTTTAACTGAGAGCAATTTTCAGAGTGCTGTGATGTAAGGGACTCCTAACCAACAATAAGTAGAATACTTATTGTGCAAAACCAGGGCTGCTTCGGTGGTATTTTCAGGACGCTCTCATGACCCGAGGGTTTTGGAGAAATGTATGTTCTTGAATTTCCCTGGGGTTTTCTATTGGCTCAGATAAACTGGGTCAACATTAGGAGAAAGAAGTGGACCAGTAACGAGTGAAAGCTCTGTGGTTTGGTCTGGATTTGTCAGAAATAGATGGAATCTGTTCATTCAACACATATCTATTGAGCATCTACCATGTACCAGGCATTGTAGAAGATCTTAGCATATGGTGGCACACGAAACAAAGATGCTCTTCAAACTGCCCACAGTCTAGTGAGGAGGCAGAGAACATAGAAGGAAAGAATAAATAACTACAAATAACGATCAATGTTTGGAAGGAAATGAAGCAAGATGAACTGACTTTGTTGCTTCTTGGTCATTCGAATCATATTATGCTATATTTTTCAAGGCCCCTGTGTGGGCTTGGCTCAAATATTTCGAAAATATTCAACGCTAGGGAATGAAGTTTTCCTGATGCAACTCGCAAAGCCACAGGAAAGCAATGAAAAATGCTTTTTTTCTCTTGATGTTCACTTTCAGTTTCCTGAAAAGCCACTTTTGAGGGTTCTCTTCTTTCAAGAAGCTCAGCTCAGAGGTCCATAGGGATATGCCTTTGTCCTGCTTGCTGCTGCTGAGTGAGCCCCATCCTGGTAGGGCTAGCAGTCCTGAGACTTCCCCCCGCCTGACTTCCCATCACGCCCCCTTCCTCACACCAACATGGCTCATTTACTCATCAGCGGACCCTTTTCTCTCTTACCAAGAAGTGACGAGGATGAGATGGGAAAAACCCCACAGATGGTGCTCACTACAAGCAGCCCCACAAATACAAGACCTGACCAAGAATACTGATGCAATTTGTATTTTTCTAGGCAATTGGACATGACATTGTTGGTTTCCTGAAACCATGCTTAGGAAATTAGTTGCCATCTCTTCAAAATACAGGGAAGCTTAGGTGAAACGAATCCACAGAGAAAAAATAAATAAATCAGGTTGACTTAAGGATTAGAGAGCAGTTATAATGGTGAAGGTCATTTCTCCTCGGCTACCGCATGGAATGATCGTATATATTTTTTAAAAAATTGGAAAGCCGTTAGGAACTGCAGACTTGTTTTCAGCAAGTTCCATTGGGCCTCTGTGTTTTATTTGAAAATTTTCCACTTTGGTAAAATGACAGAACTCTGTGTGGCCCATGTTGGATACTGAGTCTCCCTATCTGGTTAGCCCCAATTCCTGCACCGAATTTCTGGAACCAGTTACTGGACAGAGGATGGGCAAAGTTAATAAAGCTCTTCATCTCAGTCCTCTCTCTCACTTTCTTCTGCCTTTCCTAGAAAAGCAGTGAGGAAGAAGCCAAAGGAGGACAGACCATCTTAACACTGGCTCTATCTCCTTTGCCAGCTGATAATATTTAAAGTCTAAGAAGAGTTCAAAAATAAATGTTTCTGTGCAGTGCATAACATAACCACTGATGAATATCTGCAAAGGCTGGGACACGTACATAGGTGTCTATGCAGAAGCATAAAGTGCTGTCTGTAAAAGAGGCCAGTCTGCTTTGGGTTATGCTTGATTTTTAAAGAAAAATTAAATGGAATTTTCTCTCCATTTTTTCTTTCTTCCTCTCCCCATTCCCTATCCATCCATCCTCTGGTGTAGACCCCTAATCCTTGAAGGGAATCCAGAAGTCCTCTAATCTAGTGCCTCCCACAAGTCCAGGAATCCTTCCTGAAGCCCCCGATGTCTCTTTTCTTGAAAGGACAGTTCAGGCTCCATCTATAGTAGCTTTGTCCCTCTCCTCACCTTCCATTTTTCTTTCATGTTGGACTGTGTTAAAGAATGTTCTCTTTCAAACCCAACCATCTTTCCTCATCTGTCAAATATTAGCAGGTGATGGAAGTGGGTGAAGGTGATGGGTGGGCTGAATTAGTTGTTCTCTGAAGCATTTTCTGGCTCTACCATTTTTCTTTCTATCACTGTAATATTGACAGAGTTTAAGTAGCCAATGAACTTGGAAACAAATGTTTTGCTCTAACCCCCCTCCTACTTCTTGTTCCACTCTTTTATTTGTAAAACCCCTTTTTACAATACTTTGCTCTACTGTGCTTCACAGCACAATATATGTGTTTTTTACAACTGAACGTTTGTGGCAACCCTGTGTTGAGCGTCCATTGGTGCCATTTTTCCAGCAGCACTTGCTCACTTTGTGTCACATTTTGGTAATGCTTGCCATGTTTCAAACTTTTTCATTATCATTCTATTTGCTGTGGTAATGTGTGATCAGTGATCTTTTTCTTTTTCCCCTGGCTGTGCCACGTGGCATGTGAGATTGTAGTTCCCCAACCAGGGATGGAACTCGTGCCCCTGCAGTGCAAGCACAGAGTCTTAACCACTGGACCGCCAGGGACTTCCCTGTGATCAGTGATCTTTAATGTTATTATTGCAAAAAGATTATGACCTACTGAAGGCTCAGATGACAGCATTTTTTGACGATAAAGTACTTTTTGATTAGGGTATATACATTGTTTTGTAGACATAATGTCATTGCACACTTAATAGGCTACAGTATAGTGTAAACATAACTTTTATATGCACTGGGAAACCAAAAGATTCATGTGATGTGCTTTATTGTGATATTCCTTTGATTGTGGTGGTCTGGAATCGAACCCACGATATCTCCAAGCTATGCCTATACTGCAGAACTCTCTTATCAACCTCCAGTTTTCAGATTCACCCATGCCTTCCATTCCCTCTGTAAAACCAAGGGCTGCCCCAGCTCGCCGGATTCTTAGCCATGCCTTCTCCTTGAGCATTCCAACTCCCATTTGCTCTCTTAAAAAAGTCGGTGGTATGTTTGCTGCTGACTCTGTTGATGCTCATTGTATGTATGTGTCTATATATGCTGTAGTTGTAACTATAGTTGGGAGACTCAAATATTATGTAAACCAGTAAACATGGGTGTGAAAAAATTATTTTTCTATGAAAAGTAAATTGAATGCTTGGGGGATGACTTGATAAAGTTGATGCATGGAAAAACAAAACAACAACAACAGAACCCTACTATAGCATCTGAGGTAGCTGAGACAACTGCAAAAACAAAATGGGGAAAACATCCAGAAGGATTATATAATCAATTTATTTCAAAAATGTCTTTAAGCTCCAAAACTGAAATGGATGGGCAATACATTTTAGATAAGGGTTTTGTAAGAAAGACAGCATGGGACTCCAGGTAGCCAACACAGATTCTAAGAAAGGCCTTGACTGTATCTCAAAATACAGGTGAATGAATGTTTATTTAAATGTTTTAAGTCAAAATAAAATATTTAAGATATAGGTATATAATTTTTATTATTAAATGCTTTAACTGGTCTTTCAATTAATCACATAACTCTTAGTCCCAAACATAAAATTTCTAAAATTCCCCATATTTAGGAGTTATATGGTAGTGGAAAGAAAAATGGGCAATATGAAGGTAGAATTCTGTTTTGTCTATTCCATTCTAACAAACACATTAAATCTCTGTGCCAGGCGGTGAACTAAAAAATAATCTTTATAACACATTGGTTGGTACCTACTTTATGATGTTTTACCATTATCATCATTAAGTCTCCACAAGCTACAAAATGAGTCTTAGAATGACCAACCATCCCAGGTCACAGTGATCAGTAGAGGCAGAATTAAAACCCAGAGCATGTGTCATAGAATACTATTGTTTGGCCATATCCTTTAACATTTACTAAATGCTCTAACTTATGCTATAGCCTTCATGCGTAGTCCAAAAGTAAGCCCTAAAATGCTAACTTTTCATTCAGATTCGAGAGCATAGTGTTAGGAGATCACGAAAGTGAGGAGCTCAACCAAAGCCTTTCCAAAGTCTAGATGAACTGATGATTTTTCTTTCTTTGTGCTAAGACTAGCTCTTGTCCAAAGTTACTGAGATGGAAATTTCTTAGATGACAAGTGATTTCACTACAGCAGGCTACCAGTATATGCTTCTCCTTAAAGGATACAAGAATACACTTCCTCCAGCAAATTTATTTTTGCATGATGCAATGCAGCCAGTCGCATACCACTGGGCTTGCTCTCTCTGGTATACAGAACCATGAGTGACCCGGTGGGTTTCCGTTTATGGAAAATTCATTAAAAGGAGCCCACACAAAGCTTGAAATAACTACTTGGTTTGGGAGTTCCTTTTGTGATCCCTCGTCATGATCTTTGCCACAGAAAACTATTTGAGGACTCTCCAGAGTTAGCTAAACTTCTGGTCAGTTTGGAAACCATAGTATTTTACAGTTCATCTTAGCCAAGAAAGGAAACATTCAGGATATATATCATGGTGAGTTTCCTAAAGATCTCTTGTAGTATAAACTATAAAGCTTATTTTTTTAAAAAAAAAAAACTCTTTTCCTATGAAGGTTAGTTTACTTGACTTTCTATAGTCTTATAGTGTAGTAACTTCTCTCCTATTTCCTCCATTCCTTAAATAATTTATTTATTCATTCATTCAGTGAACACTTATTGAAACAATTACTATGCTCTGGAAATATTGCTAAACAATGGGGTTGAATAAGTTAATGTTCCTGTTTGCTAGAACATTCATCCAAAAGCCTAGGCTGATGTAAAATACTCATAAATCACTGCAAAACAATTGGAGGTAAAACAGAGGAAAAAGAGGATCAAGAAAAGGCTCAATAGAGAAACAGGTCAGAAATGAGGAGAAGCTGAAATTAGACAGTGG